TATGCATGTGCACACATACAAACATACATTTATACTCAACACACATAGACACTGAAATGTGCCCGTTGAACAGAGTCACAGCTTTTTGGTTGTAGGGAAACAGATCACCAAGATTAACAACCGTATTAATTTGTAGTTATCCAGCTAAGGTTCCACAACTGTTTATACAAAAGGCAACATGACGTCTATTTTGGTCCTTGAAGATATGTCACCTGAAAGGTTTCTTCAGTACTTACTGATGGGATATTCAGGCTTCTTAACCTTTGCTGAGATGTGTCAGAAATGGTGTTTCTCTCATCATGATGTGAACATTAGTGATGTTGAAAAGTGTCCCACATCTTTGGGATGTAGATGGATACGTGAAGATCTTACTCTTTGTGTTCTGCTGTGCAGTTTGTAGTGGTTGTTCATAAAATATGTTAAAATAATGCATCACTGTGCTGCATAAAAAACTCACTTAATTATAATATGAATGAAGAGGTCAGAAAGTATCACTGGCCTGGACATCATTATACTTTGAGAGTCTCCAGTAGTCAGTCAGTGCCTAAGACACCATTTGAATGGCAGGTGAACTGTCATCAAGAACCATGAGGAGACATCCACCTGCCTTATTTCTAGATACTCAGGCAAAATAAAACGTAGAAGTTACCTTGCTCTAACTTTCATTTGTATCTCTTAAAATTTCAACAAAATCTCAACTTTGTCTTTGAAATGGAAAAAAGGTTTGATTTCCATTCTGTATTTTTCTTTACTTTGTTTCAGAAAGGACATGATGAAGAATGAAGTTTGCTTTGAAAAGGCTTTTTCTGAGACACATCTTGCCTTCGATATTGTCTCCCTAAAGTTTGTTGTTTGTTACGTAGAATAAATTAACATGCATCAAAAGGACTTTATTGATTTTTTTTGCAATGATAGTCATAACAGTAGAGCACTAAATCAAACATATTCAAAGCAAAAGTATGATCTAATAATAGGAATAATAATGTTTTAAAAAAATAAACTGATAACTAAAATATCACACTAACGTATTTAAACATACAGAGAAAAATTAGGGATGTGTGCTATATTTCCAAATAGATAAATTATTAAGGTTAAAAATGTAGGTCATTCTAACTACTCAACAAAAATGACTTCAACAGACCATTATGAAACAAGCAGCTGATGATAATGATGACAAGTATACTTTTTCAAAATGCTTTTCTTTGTAATTTAAGAAGTACAAATGTTTATTACAACTTACTACTAGTTATGTTTCTTTCCTTTCTTAATGATAAACAATGAATAACAAAGACTTACAAATACAAATCAGATCATCAAAAATACTTCATAGGTGATAATATCAAACAACAGGTTTCAGAATAAATTGTTTTTTACTCCGAAAAATAGGATTTAAATTATATTTAGTACATCTAAGAAAATGCAACATTCAGTGTTAAACAATTTCATTCCAATTCTAGTATTTTAGGATTGTAGTTGCAGCAAATCTTCCTGAAGGCATTTGTGGAAAGAATCGTCCATTAGAAAGGTTTTCTGATGCCAACAAAACGTAAAAACCCTTCCTTCTTGCAAAAAATGCTCATCAACATCAGAAAAACATGTGCAACAGAAACAGTAAAAAAGGAAACCCAGTTTGTCTTCTGCATGTCAGGGTTCTATTATTTTTATCAAAAGCAGACTTTGTGTTCGTCAAAAACTTTGAGACCTGGGGGATTATTTTCCTGACTCTGAGCCCAATTCCAAGTAGAAATATTAGAACAAATTATTCACATAAATTCTGCAGCAGAAAATGTACAACTCACCCTCATATCAGTTGTTGAGGCCTCTCTAAGGGGGCATCTGGATTACAGGACAGTCAGATGGTGAAGATGTCTGATGGCAGAAAATCTGAACTTGTGGTATTCAAGGACGATGCACTCCAAGGCAGACCTAATGCATTAATGCAACCATGTTTTATCAATCAAACACAACCCTTAAAACAAATGTTTAGAAAAGATTAAAAAGAAAAAACTATGGGCAGTTATTGGACACAGTACCTTTTCATGGCTTCATGATGCCCTGGCCCTTGCCTCTTTGAAAAGGAGAGCAGTCCTCAGACTTGGAGTCCACTCGGAGCTCCACAGCCTAAATGAGGAACAAGACAGGAGCAGAGAACAATCAACTCCTGTGAGCCACCATCAAAACTCAACACCCCTTAGAAGTGACCTTGCATGACAACAAAGTACAAATTCTACCAATAGCATTGCTGGCTCCAGTTTCATACTTAATTGGAACAAGGCACCTCACGCCTTTCTTTGTATGCTCATGTGATTTTAAAATCGACACTTCACCTGTTGCTGTTGGTCACAGAAAAAAAAAAGTCCTGACAACCTGCGTCAGAAGCTGTCCCTAAGCTAACCTCTGAACTACCAAGCCCTCAAAGCCAGCCAGCAGGAATTTCACAAGTTATCTTTGTGCTCAAGGATAAAGAGAAGAAACAATGCCATGTCAACAGGAGCAGACAAAGGACAGTCAGTGCATGTAACGGTTGGATAAAAGCCCAGAGTATAGGTCACTGCAATGTAACTCTGCAACTCTGCTTCAATCTAAACACTTGTTGTGATGCTTCTAAACAGGTTTTGGCCATTTAATTTTCATCAATATATAAAAAAAAAGAACAATAAAAGAAAAATCATAACACAGTGTCATCTGCAAAGTTTTAATGTTTAAAAACAAAGAATTTCCATTGACATTGAAAAGGCTGATGCACATAACTGAATGTCAAAATTAATCAGCTTCCAGTATCAAGGATAACTTTTAGCTTTTTCAGATTTATTTAGCATGTTTCCCATGAGTTTTTCATGATGCAAGACACAAATATGTGTAATATACATAATCAAGGAGACACAGCTTGACCAGAGTTTTACCACATTGTTCATGATCTAAATAAGAGTGTCTGTTCTGTATATTTACAAATGGACAGAGTAATTATTACACAAACATGCAGAACATGCTGGAAACCACAAACACAAAATATACAAATTTAGCACAACATTGCATTATGAACTTTTGAATGAACAATGCACTCTTGTGTCATTATTAACCAGCATTTTGCAATATTTCTCATGAGTTGGACAGCACTGTTTCTGAGCATGTCCACTGCTGCTAAAGAAAAGGAAACAATGTGAATTGACCAGAGCTGGATCAAGACCCAATAGTGAGTTGTGTTGAGTGAAAATAAAGAAACATCACAGCTGTGACCGTGACCTTGTCTTGCCTCTCTGCAGACAACAGCTGCACCTCTTTACTTTTTCTCTCGATTTTGATTTCACATCCCATCATTTGAAAGACTGTTGTTGAAATTAAGATCTGCGAAAGTTTTAGGCACCACAAATATTATTGTTGTAGGCTTCTTTAAGTATGAAAGCACTACTCTCTTTTTATTAACGACAGCTATTAAATA